ATGAGTCAAAATAGTTCTAAAGTCTTTGGCCTGAGCAATTGAAAGGAATGATTGCCATCAGCTAAGATGGGAAGGCTGTAGATAAAGCAGAAGTTCCAAGTTTGGACATATTTGGCTTTAGATTTTTATTATTTTCTGAAAAGTCAACTGGATTTATGAAGCTAGAATTTAAGAAAGAAATCTAGGCTACAAATATAAATTTGGGATCATTGGCATTGATCATTGTATTTAAACCTTGATATTGAGTTTAATCACCAAAGAAATTAGTGTAGCTATAGATGAGGAACAAGGACTAAGTCCTGGGCCCTCCAAATCTGTGAGTCAAAAAGAAGAGAAGGAATCAGCTAAAGAGACTGAGAAGAATAGGCCATAAGGTAGGAGAAAAAGAAATAGATTGTGCTTTACTGGAAGCCACATGAAGAAAACAGGTTAAGGAGAAGTGAAAGATTTATTTTCAAATACCGAAAAGTTCTTTTTAAAATGGAACAGGAACCCATCAAATTGCAATTAGAGACTTGTTCCAATTATTTTTAAATAATTGAAAGCAATTAATTAATTCAATTGAATTTACCCCTCAGACACATTGAATGTACACATATCCCAAAAAAGTATAGAAAACATAAGAGAAATAAGACTAGAATACAGTTTTACTTTTTTTTTTACACTAGCATGATTTTTCTCTACTGTCTCTCACACTTATTAATTACTATGTATTGTTTGACTTCCTCTAAAGAAGGTTCCAGAAGACCATCAGGAACTCTTCTGGTCCAAGTTCTCCTTCCAGGAAAAGCCTGCTTTCATGCTCTTGCCAGGCTCAGTCACTGGGTGGGAGCGGTCTGGGAAAGGCATGGCTTCAGCCCAAACATAGGGATGGAATTTAGAGAACAGGTGGGGAATCTTGGTCAATTACACTGTCTCTAGTTGGCGTTCTGTGAGGTGCATTTTCATAGCCACCTCAGGTGCTGGGACATCAACAAGGTCTTCTGTCTTTAAAGCTCCCAATCATTTATCTAGTAATTGGTTTACAGCACAAGCTAAATATGTACCACTGTCAGACATCAATGGCATAAATCTGCATACATATTATTATAACAGTTTTAGTTCTGAGGGTCTCTTTATTACAATAGACTTTGTTCTGAGGGTCCCTGCCTCAAACAGCCAGCTCCAAGTTCTGGCCCAAAGCTTGCAAATTGTATTTAAATCATGACACAACATATCTGCAATTCAATAATCAATACAATCACCAAAAGTCAGGGTTCAAGAGCAAACCCATATAATCTAAGAGTGCCATCCATTCCAATTTTCCCCATTCCTGACTAGAGCAAAGAAGCATCTGAAAACATCGAGGTTTGGTGTATTTTTACACTTAAAATTTTGGAGAAAATTAGGTAAATTGGCTTTGGTTGAAAGATACAATTCTCCAATGGCCTAATCATACTATAATAGGATATTATAAAAGAATAAATTAATAAAATATAATTTAAGACATTTATGTAATTTATAATCATCTATACCAGTGGTTCTCAACCTTCCTAATGCCACAACCCTTTAATACAGTTCCTCATGTTGTGGTGACCCCCAATTTCATTGTTACAAATTGAACATAATTAAAGCATAGTGATTAATCACAAAAACAATATGTAATTATAGATGTGTTTTCCGATGGTCTTGGGCGACCCCTGTGAAAGGGTCGTTCGACCCCCAAAGGGGTCACAACCCACAGGTTGGCGACCCACAGGTTGAGAACCGCTGGTCTAAAGAAACCATTCTCAACACAGCAATCAGGGTAATATGCTAATTAGACTGGACATCTTCCTGACAAAACCACAGTGGCAGGGGCCAAGGCAGAGGAGGTTAGGGGAGATCAGGCCGGCAGGGGAGAGCAGTTAGGGAGTGATCAGGCTGGCAGGGGAGGGAAGTTAGGGCGATCAGGCCAGCAGGGGAGGGCAGTTAGGGAGCAATCAGGCAAGCAGGGGAGCAGTTAAGGGCATCAGGCCAGCAGGCTGAGGTGGTTAGGGTTGATCAGGCTGGCAGGCAGGCAAGCAGTTAGGAGCCAGCAGTCCTGGATTGCGAGAGGGATGTCCAACTGCTGGTTTAGGATTAGGCCTAAACCAGCAGTCGGACATCCCCCGAAGGGTCCTGGATTGGAGAGGGTGCAGGCCAGGCTGAGGGATCCCCCCTCATGCAGGAATTTCGTGCACAGGGCCTCTAGTATTTTCTATAATAATAAAAGCATAATATGCTAATTAAACCAGACAGCTGAAGGACCTTCCAGATGTCATTCTAGACGTCCTTCCAGACGACCTTCTGGATGAAGCTGCGGCAGGCGGGGGCCAAGGCAGAGGCTGCCACCACAGCAGGCATGGGCTGAGGCAGAGGTGGTTAGGGGTGATCAGGTAGGCGGCAGTTAGGGAGCGATCAGGCAAGCAGGGGAGGCAGAGTGGCTAGGGGTGATCAGGCAGGCAGGTGAGTGGTTGCGGTAATCAGGCAGGCAGGCGAGCACTTAGGGGCGATCAGGCAGGCAGGCAGGTGAGCTGAGCGGTTAGGAGCCAGCGGTCCAGATTGTGAGAGAGATGTCCTACTGCTGGTTTAGGTCGGACATTCCCCTAGGATTCCGGGATTGCGAGGGGGTACAGGCCGGGCTGAGGGACACCCTCTCCCTCCCATGCACGGATTTTGTGCACTGGGCCTCTAGTATATAATATAAAAAGTATCAAGTACTCTTCTAAGCAATTTAAATTATTTTTACTCATTTAATTTGTACAACGCTGTGATGTAGAATTATTATAATCACCATTTGTAGATGTGAAAGCTCAGACACAAAGAAGTTAAGTGACTTGCCCAAGATTCCACAGCAAATAAGTGCAACATTCAAATTTGAAACCAGGTACTCAGTCTTGAAAATCCTGATCTTAACCATCTATTATACCTCTCTTGTACTTTCTCTGCCAATACTAGTGTAGTAATAATGTAGGATCATAAAGTATTAGCAAAATTCACAGAGATTATTGGCTCTGAACACATTGTGGTTCCTGCTATCTTAGTCATGAATGAATTACATTAGACTCACAATTGATGAATTCAGCCAAGACACATAACTGCATTAATATGATCATGCTAATGGACAGGATTTCTCAAATTGTGAGTTAACTCCCATTAGTGTATCTTGAGCAGCATTTTTAAAAATGAAATAAAAGTGAATAGAAAGAAACAGAAGGCATTACATATAATAGAGGTAAATTGTAGGGGTATGTGTGTGTATGTGTACTGGATTCAGAAATTATTTATTAACTAAAGGTTCAGGTTAAAGGAAAAACAAAAAGAAAAAATGTTAGGTCTTTGTTCAAGGATCCAATGAATTCTCCTTTTGAGAAGCATTAATTCTATTGCCTACCCATAGATCATTATCAATAACAATTCGCACTAGATCATCAACACAATTTAAATAGGAAAATGCGAGCTTCCTAGGAACTAGATAGATTATAGTTAGAACTGTAGCTGCCACTTAACCTGTCTATGAGAAGGTAATAAAGTAGGAGTCTTGAAAATTAACCCTTGGGAAATCCCAGATGGATTAATGCCATTGGTTATTTTATCAGCCATCTCATACTCTACCAACACAATAGAAAAACATTCATTTTCACTAAAACCTTGGACACTGAAAAAATATCCAAAAATTCTGAAGGATTCAGCTAGTTCCCCTTCTTTTATTTAATATTCTTTTTTTCTGCCTGCCCAGTGCACTAGTCTGACATTTTTCTTTGTTCTTATGGGCATATATCTAGCTTTCTCCCACAGATCTCTTACATGGTATAAACTCTAAAAATTATTTTTCCCCTCAGATGTCAAAAATGCATGAGCATGCAGTGCATGCTGGGCTGTGGGTGGCACAGAAGAAAAGATCCAAGGCAGTCAAATGCAATATCAGTTTCTTTGGGGCAACTATACATGGCCTCAATACTCCTGAGGGGCCATGATTATAAGAGATGTCTCTTAGTTCAGCCAAGCTGCCAGCTACATTTTACTGCACACTCACTGTAGTCAGAGCTCCGTGTGGGGTATGGAGGGAGTTGTGGTCTTCTCACTCCAGAATCTTGCAGTTCAGTAGAAAGACAAGGCAAACAGATGTGATGAAAAGATATCACTTTATAGAACAAGAAAAAGTGGATGATTTTTCAAAAATTTTCTAAATTTAATCTTATCCAAAATTTATAAGAATAAGTTCTATACACTTATAAAATATTTGATTACTTGTATTTCTTTGAAATTTATTGAGATTTGTTGGTTTTGAATTGTATATTTTTATTTATTTTTTGTTTCAGTCCTAGCTGAAGATGGCAAATGTTGACTTAAGCAAACAAATATAATTATAATAAATTTAATTTACATTTCTTTGAAAGAAAAGATTATGGGTAGTGGTAAAAATGTAACCAAGCAGCAGTTACTCTAGATAAGCCACATAAACGTAAACCACTGCTGAGCTTTAAAGATGAAAACAAAGGATTTTTTTTATTTTCCTCCAACTTTTAACCATAGCCTTAACTGCAGTCTTTCTCTTTAACCAGTAAGTAACACTATAGAAATGAAGTCCTGTGTATTTATGTTCATTATAAGTATGTGTGATGGAAAAAATCACTATCACCCAAAGTTATAATATCTGAAATGTGAATAATGCTTTTGTATAGATTTTCATCCCAGGAGAATCTCATGCTGGAGGTGATACAGACTTTAGCCTAAGATAAGAGATGTACTCAAGTTTTCTTGGCTGTTCTTGAAGATGTAATACTGATACCCAGGTTTTGAGATTCAGAATGTAATTGTTGCTACAGGAGGAAAAGATGAATTTAGGATTTAATGTACAATTGTATGTATCCTATTATTCAACAAGAAACTGTTTTCATAGATTTTCAGAAATGCAAACTTTTTGAATCTGCAAAGAAATTCAATAAGAAGAGTTAACACTATAGTTTGACTCTGGGTGTCTGATTTTTTTCCTACAGTTAGCACTTCACAACCAGATGCCTCACCTTCTCAAACCAGTATATTACCCCCAATGTCAACAGCAATTGCAGAAAACATCTCACAATCTCAAGGTATGATTTCTGTGTGCATGACTAGAAACTCACTTTGCTCAACTCCTCATCACCAAGAAAACCCTACCAATCTTTAAAAATATAATAACAGCTTTATTAAATTATAATTGCTATACAAAAACACACATCTATAAAAGGGGAGACATGAGGAAACTGTTACAGGTGATGGCTATGTCTATTGCTTTGATTGTGGTGATGGTTTCATGGATGTATGTCCAAACTCATAAATTGTATACATACACACCCGGACAATCTTGATTTGCAAAGCAGAATTCTTTCAGAATGAGATCAAATGTATTCATTTGAAGCATCCTACCTATAGATCACAGAGGCTTACTTACATGCGGGATGAAGGGAGGATTGTGAGGATTGGCACATTAACCAAAGGTAACTCATTTTTTCTTTCTTAAAATAATAGGCACTGAGAATGAAAAAAATGCAAGCCCTTCTTCAACCAGCTCCTCTCATTCCAGTGAGTAACAGACATCTTCATTCATAGACATAGATATGCAGAATATTTTAATGTTACCAATAAGGGAAGGGATTCAATTACAGATAGACTTTTATCAGCTTTACTGAACCTGCAATCCCATTAAAATCCTGTCTGACTGCCACTTGCTTTGAGAATTTCCTACGTATGAGTCTTAATGAGCACACTTTTGAGATTATTTTCTTACCTTAGTGCTAAGCAATTACCACCAAACGTCAAGGTGAATTGATGGGACTAGTCTCAGATAAGCCAAAGTATACAGACAGAGATCCCCATAAAAATGAATTGTTTACCTTTACAAAACTTTGTCTTCATGTTGAAATGGCCTTTTAAAGAAATATTCCATTTTAGCAAAAATAGATATACTAGTATGTCATATAACATACAGGTGGGGCAAAAATAGGTTTACAGTTTTGAGTGAAACACAGAGTTCATTCTTGTATTGTTATTTATTACTTATTGTGTTATTTTCCATATGAACAACTGTAAACCTACTTTTGCTCCACCTTGTATATGTTTATGCTAGGACTAAATAGACTTAATTTCCCTGGAAATTAAGACTAATATGAATACATATGAAGCTGGGATGATAGGTTTAGGTAAAGCCATTCCATTCAATAGGTCAGAATTGCACTCATTGACCTGATGATTTATGGTTTCTTCATTTGGGAAGCACTAATGATCTCACTGAAGGTGTAATATGAACCCAGAACTTACTTAAAACAAATATTTAATCATGGAAGTGAAAACCACTTTACAAATGAATTGGTTAACTACTCTCATTCCCTGATAAACATGAGGAACACATACCAGTAAGCAAGCAGATGATAATACCTACTAAATGGTAACTATAATTTCTATAACTCTAGCTTTACCCCTAGGACAGTGTTTTCATCTTATCACTGTTGTTTCAATCTGGAAAATGACTGGCAGAAAAGAGGCAGATGCTAAAATAAATTAATTAATTAATAAACAGCAAAACCCTCGTCTTAATAAAAATAGGAAAAAACATAATCGCCGAGACATGTGTGTACACACATGCACATTGTTCTTGAACCATTTGTTCATGTTTAGAAATAATGTGCCCTGTGATATCCAATTATATCCACTTATGCTATTTTATACTTTTTCTGGTTCTAAGATATTACCATTGAAAGATATTTGTGAGGTTTTTAGAAAGCCAGCTTTATAACTAGGGTAGTTTCAGTATTGGCTATCTAAGTCCTTTTTTCCAATAATTTGGCTATAAAGTAGTAAAGAATATATGAGTGAATGTGGGTCTAACTCTAGGTCTAGAGGACATCTTCTGCCTCTTGTCTCCCATTTCCTCACTCCCCCAGTCTCCAGAAGAATGGAGAACTATCTCTCTTAGGCTTGAAATTTTATTTCAGAAAGGCTACAAGACTGACATCAAGTGGATACGTCAGAAACGACAACTAAAGCAAAACCCATGAATCAGATAGATCTTCTTTGCTTAAAATACACTATTTTAAACAGAATGATATTTAAATAAGAAAGCATGCATTCTTTTGCTCAATTCATAAACTATTGTGAAACTCAATTGCCACTCTAACTGACAATGTCTCCACTGCTTCTTAGGCATTATTCTGCCGGTGGTTATTGCTCTAATTGTAATAACACTTTCAGTGTTTGCTCTGGTGGGTTTGTATCGACTGTGCAGGAAGACAGACCCAGGTGGGTAACAGTGTTTTGCTTCATCTTGTTTCCTGAAAGGAGAATGCTCATGCTAGATCTAAACTTACGTTTATACTCATAAGGGGAGGCGGGAATTGTAGAAAGAAATAAAATGCCATATTGCTTGATCTCAAATATAGAGGGGAATGAACCGAGAAATCTGTGGAATGCTGGTGAATGTAAGGAAAAGGGATTAACTACTAGTGGCAGATATCAAATGTGAACAAATACCTTTCAATTTAACAGCCCGTTTTGTGGGCAGTTGGGGGAATGTGGGAGTACAGAAGGCATGAGAGGGTATGCCTTCCCTATTGTGAAGGTTTGTTCCTTTCCGGGGAACAGAGGATGAAGCCAAGTCTTGCTGAGAATGTAGTTTAGGGGCCCATAATCTGAAGAAGAGTGTCCTGTGACTCACTTCCCTTCCGGGAAGCACAGCTTCCTTCCAATGAAAATGTCTCCCTTCATGACTGCGTGTTCTGCTCATTGAATTGGTTCCTTGGGACTGAACATTATTGCAATTTTTAGTGTAATTCTAGTTTGAAATTATTACCCTTTTTAACCTCTCCAGTAGCATTTGGAAGTCTTTTCCCTTTTCTTCAAAAAAGTCACTGCTCTCTTTTAAACATTCTTTGTTTACTTCTTTTTGATGTTTCATCTTCTCCCTGCCTCCGAAATACTTATGAATCCTGTAACGGCATTCTATTTTTTATTCTTCTATTAAATAAATGTTTAATTTTAAAATAGATTTGCATTCACAGAAACATTGCAAAGATAGTTACAAAGAGTTCCCACATACCACATAGCTGTTATTATTATTATTAAGATGATATAGGCCAGCTGGTGTGGCTCAGTGTTGGAGTGTCAAACTATGAACCAGGAGGTCAGTCACAGTTCTATTCCAGGTCTGGGCATATGCCCGGTTTGCAGGCTTGATCCCAGGTAGAGGGCATGTAGGAGGCAGCTGATCAATGAGTCTCTCTCATCATTGACTAGATGCCCAGTGCACGAAATTTGTGCACTGGTAGGATCCTTAGCGGCTGCTGGCTGACAGCTGACAGCTGGGTCCTCCCTTCGTTCCGTGCCACCCTCTGATGGTCAGTGCACTTCATAGAGAGCGGTCGAGCTCCTGGTCTGTACAACTCCCACCCAAGGGGACAATTTGCATATTAGCCTTTTGTTATATAGGATGTTTCTATCTTTCTCTTCCTTCCTCTCTGAAATAAATAAAAATATATAAAAATAAAAAGATGACATATTTTTCACAATGAATTAACTAATATTAGTTGATACATTATTATGAACTAAGGTCCCTACTTTTTCAATGACATATTTGTCACAATGAATTAACTAATATTAGCTGATACATTATTATGAACTAAGGTCCCTACTTTTTCAGACTTCTTCTATTCTTATTGTCTTTTCTCTATTCCAGGAAATTGAGCTTTTTATTCAATGTTTCGTCTGAATCCCCCTTCAGTTCCCATGGCTCACACTCCCCTCTATTATCTTAAACATAAATCTATTTCCCATCACAGACCCCTGCCCTGCTTGTGTAATGTGGTGTTATGTATCCATGCCTTTGTCCATGCTATTCCTTCTCCTAGAATGTCCAGCCCACCATGTAACTTTCATAAAATTCCAATGTCCCATCTGTCCATTAGCACCTACCTCAAACACCAATTTAATGTATCTTTCTTTGCATAACACACCATCTTTTTAAGCAGAATTCTATAGAATTTTATGAAATTCATCATGGTATAGTATAGTTACTTCTCCATGTACCTGTGTCCCCTTACTCTGTTCCAGGTACTACAACAAAAATACCAAGACTGTGTGGCTTAAACAATAAACATTTATTTCTCACAGTTCTGGAGGCTAAGTCCAATCAAGGTGTCAGATTGGTTGTCTGGTGAGGGTACTCTTCCTGGTGAATATATGGCCACCTTCTCACTATGTCTTCACATAGTGGAAAGCAAAGAAGTACTCTGTGGTCTTTTCTTTAAGGGCACTAATCCCACTGAGGACTCAACCCTCTGACCTAATCAACTTCCAAAGGCCCAACATCCTGATGACATTATATTAGGCATTAAGATTTAACATATGAATTTTAGGGGAGCACACACATTCAGTCCATAATATCGGGCAGCCTTTCTAGTCACACATCATGTATTATTCTCATTGCATTGTGCATATTGTAAGACAGAATCTACTATATGCTTGTTGACTGAAATTTTCAATAAAATAGAACCTTGCCTTTCCCCATTTTAATTCTAAATATTTCACCAGCAGAACTCTACCTAAGTTTCAAATACTGTTAAAAAGTAAACATCCATTTTTATAAGATATATAAGCTACACTGTTTACCCCATAGACAGTGTGCCCTCTGGGTACTAACAAATGCTGTTCCTGAAGCCAGTGTCTAACCGTGCACTGCACAGACAGCTTGATGCAAGAGCGTAACAGTGCAAGGGGAAGTTATGAGACAAAAAACAAACAAAAAAATAAAAAAAACAACAGTAGTGTTCATATTAGACCTTGGTGGAGAATGAGAATAAACACATCAATGACTTTCCTTTGGGAGTTAGTGAATAAAGCTTCTTAATAATGTCTAAAATATGTTTTCTTCCTCAGTTTCCTGAAGGAAAATAGCATTTTTATAAATCAGTTTAATTTCTCTAAGTTTCTAAACCACCAATACTATTTTTTATGGTAAATCAACCATCCAAGTTGAAGCTTGTGGGTGTTGAGCACATAGAAGAGATTAAAAAAAAGAAATTAGTGTGCTAAATCCATCTGTAAAAACACCCTCTACTGAAAAACTGCTTTACATAGGAAGATTTGCAAATTAGTTATCTGAAAAATTGACATTTGCTAATAAAGAGGACTCTATGGATGAATTGAATCATTGAGGGGGGAAATGTATAAAATTCCAACCACTATGAAAAGTAAAATAAAATAAAATAATATTAGTATAATTATGGAGAATTATTCTGAAGACATACAATACTTTATAACCAAGTTTGGCAGTTGTGCAATTAGCCAAATCTATTTGGTTTTCATTAACTTTGCTTGCCAAACAGAATTTATAGCATTGCTGTCATTAAATTAGCACCATTAAACACCCACAGTAATCAGTCTTCAAAATGTGGGTGAGACTTCATTAAGTTCAGAAAATTAGTAAGCCCACTCTGCTCACTGGAAGACAACATGAACCAGATTTCAATATGAAATTGAGTTTATCCGGATATTGTTGACAGTAGTCTGAGCTTTAACCCAAATAGAACGGCATATATTCCAAAAGTAGTCTGTTGTTATGTGTCTATCTGGTAATAAACCCATTATTACCATATCCCAAGGAAAAATATTAAAATAGGCATAGAAACAGTATCACTGCATGTAGGAACAGGGCTGTGAGCATCACAGGTGATATCATATAGAGCACTTATAGTAGGAATTTTAAAGTGCTTTTAAAACCCTACTGATGGTAGGGAAGACAAGGTCAGGTCGACTTGGTGAACAGCATAGGGTACCATGAATTAAATTGTAGGAATTAAGAGTCATGGTGGTGTATGACTCTTACCAGGTGAAGCTGAACTAGCCAGAATATTAGTGGAAATCAAGGTCTTCATAACACAACTAGAGGTCCAGTGCACGAATTTGTGCACCAATGGGGTCCCTCGGCCTGGCCTGTGGGATCAGGATCTGGCTAAAACTGGCTCTCTGACATCCCCCGAGGGGTCCCAGATTGCGAGAGGGTGCAGGCCAGGCCAAAGGACCCCACCGGTGCACGGTCGGGGCCAGGGAAGAATGCGGGAGGGCTCTGAGGCATGTCTGGCCGGTCTCACTCAGTCCTGATAGCTCGGTCCCAATCAGCCAGACCCCAGCAGCAACCTAACCTACTGGTCAGAGTGTCTGCCCCCTGGTGGTCAGTGCACATCATAGCGAGTGGTTGAGCGGCCTTAGCATATCATTAGCATATTACGCTTTGATTGGTTGAATGGCTAACCGGACACTTAGCATATTAGGTTTTTATTATATAGGAAAGGCCACAGTGAATGCAAGGTTTTACCACCATTGCTTCCCAGGGCCATGCTCTTATGTAGAGCGAATCACCAGCGTTCTCACTCTAGGCCCAGGTTGTTTTCTACCAGGTCTTGTAAGCAGCTTGGAAAAGCATACAGAAGATTAAACGCCATTAGTAGCCTCAGGATATTTTGCAGGGCACTTTAGAGAGACTGAGTTAATGTGATTCAGATGCAATTAGAAGCAATATCATAGTTCACCACAAATACAGAGATTTGTGTCCCCAGAAAGAGCCACGAATAAAGAAATGTCAGAAATTCAATTCTCTGGTATAAAAAGGCAATATTGAACTTTGAGAATTTTTTTCAGAGGTACTGAAATAAACAGAGACCTTTTCTGGTGTTTGTGGACTCTGTGATAACAAATAGTAGTTTCACATAGTGGTAAGAAACTTAGTGCAGAAGTAAGTTCAGTGGAGTTGGCCTACTTGGGGCTATCCCGTGAATGTACTAGCCATACCTGAGGAAGGAGAGCTAACCATGTCTGAGAAAATGGACAATGAGGCAGGGAGTGGAGAGGTTAAAAAAGTCAAAAATTGGCTTTAGAAATATCTCCGCACTGAAAGTGGCAGGGGACTCAAGTTTTTTGTAGCCAAGCTTCTTATAACTCTAATAATTCTCTCCTCTCCTAGGCACAGCAGAAAATGGGAATGACCAGTAAGTAAAGCTACATCATTTTTTCTAGAAGCTCTGACTGTATCATTTACATAGGAAAATCATTGATCCTTTACTTACACATCTTTGTTTGTATTTTTAAAGAATTTGTGTAGAAAGTATTGTAAATGGAATTTAACTATTTTTTTCAGAGCTCTCTCTTTTCAACGGAAATTCCAGCAACTAAAAGAGGACTGGTCTTAAGCTATTCAAAAGTATTAAAATGGCAAATCAAAAAGTGAAATGCAAAAATAGAAAAATGAATATCACTACAATAATAAATATAATATAAAACATACCTAGAGTTTTAAAATACTTTTCCCAGTGGAATTTTCAGTATGTTTCTCACAATTAGGAAACTATCATGCCTGCACCTTGAGACAGCTCTGAGTGGCTTTATTAATAGTAGATGTGCGTTCTGCTTTGACTTTTTAAAAACAAGCAAAGCAGTTGTTACCAATCCACCCGACTGTTCCCATCAAGGTGCTATAAAGAGACTATTTTTTTTAAATGAATGTTAAAACCAATTCTGTGTTTAAGTTTTCTTTGTTGACCTGAATTTGTATCCTGCCTTTATGTAGGTGTTTTTGTATGTTCATCAGGCAATGAAACTTAGAAATACTATCTGTAGGTCACCTACCCTGCTTAATTAGAAATAAAGGTTCTTGAGATGTCCAGGGGGGGAAAAGGGTTTGAAAGTGTTTGGAATCTGAGAAAGAGGAGGCGGGAACCCTTGGCTAAAATGGCCGGCAGTGTCCAGTGTCCTCGTAAAAAGGGATACTCTTAGAATTCATCAGCAGCCCCCAAAGTTTGGAAACATGTCTGTGTCTTTCCCTTCGTAATTCAGGGCTGAAGCCATGTACCATACAGACCTGTGACAGGTGTTTCCCATGGCCCATCTTGATGTTTAATTTCTCTGAGGGCCATTGCTGTAGCAGAATGGTGGGGATTTATTGGCTCGATTCCAGAAGTGGAAAGTGCTATGTGTGTGTCTGCATGTGAAGAGACACGGGTTTTGCCATAAAAACACATAAAATATATATATATGCTTGTGTATCTTCTTCATTCTGTGTGTATAATATTTACTTTCTATCCCAGACAGGCCACGCTAATCACTATGGTGTTAATTTAATGTTTTCTGTTCCGAACAGGCCTCAGTCCGATAAGGAGAGTGTGAAGCTCCTCACTGTGAAGACAATCTCTCATGAGTCGGGTAAGCTCCCCAACTGTGGATTAGATGAAAAAGGGTTATTTCAGCATTCTGCTTGGATTTTGTCCATGTTGAAACATAACCGGAAAGCATAGCTTCTTCAGAAATAGTCAGTTAGTAGCTCCCAATAAGTATCAAATTTTCCTTTAGAGGAAAGACAAGCCCTAAAAATATAATTTTGGGGTAAAAATTGTTGGATTATCTGGCTTTTAGAAGTTGCTTGTTATAAAGTGTAGATGTGTTCCAAAGAATGGGAGGTAACGAGAGTCATTTTCCATTCTGCAGTAATGGCAGAAAGAACATTACATGTACTATATAGGGTTTTTATTATCGCTGTTATCTTGTTTCATTTTTGCTAATTGCTGTGTATACTCCCCTGGAACCAGGATTTATCAGTTAAAGTGTAAATCATATTTTGTAACTTCACATGATTTTAATCGAGTTTCCCCATGAGGAAAAAAACACAATTTCCTGTTGATAAAATTTACATGTCTTTTTCCAGTTTCTTAGGTTTTGATTTTGCTTGATTTGAAATGTAAATGTGTGGTTTTTTCCAATATATATATATATGATTTGTTTGAGTTATAGTGTATCAAGAGCAATGATAAATGAGATGCCACATAGCTTTTAAAATTAAAAAAAAAGCACCGATTGTTTTCTTGTTTTGAGTAGACCACATATTTAAAACACCAATATCACAAAGCAGATAAATAAAAAGTAATTATTAGCTTTACAAAATGGTCCATGTGGCTCTAACTTAACTATCAAGTTCCATGAATACATTTAACCATTCAGTTCCCCCAATTTTACCTACGCAAAATAGTTTGAGAATGCTGATGTTATTTAAAGTGTGAGCTATAGAATGATAAACTACATTATAAATATGTAGTAATTTTTTTAATAAGACAGAAAGCTATAAATATTGTCTCACTTCAAGAGCAAGATCTCAAAGGCTGAATGTGGTCCTAATTTCAGGTAGGAAATTCTAACTAGAGCAAACTACAAGAAGCAAACAGAAGACTTGAGAAGTGAGGGTAACTCACCAATATCTATAGACAGGCCCAAACCCCTCTCATGAGCCAGTCTCTTAAGAGTCCCAATTTCAGGTAGGAAGTTCTAACTAGAGCAAACTACAAGAAGCAAAGAGAAGACTTGAGAAGTGAGGGTACCCAATATCTGTATACAGGCCCAAACCCCTCTCATGAGCCAGTCTCTTAAGAGAGACCTTCCTTCATGATGTACCTGGTTCCTTTATTCCTACCTGGTTCTCTCAGAGGTAACCATCTGAATGGGCAGAGGAGTAAAATTCATTCATAGGGTGATTGGAAACCACTCACAGGTCCCCTGGCCATTCACCTGGCTCCACGAAGTAGCTTATTCCACTAGGTCAGAGAAAAGGAGCCTAAATATGAACTAGTCCTGAGTAAGTCCCTGAAGGATCCTGAGCATGACTATATCGTTTGTCAAGAAGAGTTCTCAGAATCTGCCTGTGACTTTTACGCAAGCATCACAATAACGTCATGTCCATTGGGAATTTAACTTAACCTGCAGCCTGGGCTCCTCCAGCTGGGGATGGGCTGCCTGCCCAGCACTTGGAAGAAGCCTCTGTGTAGGAGCCCCTGGTTCTCCTTGGGGGAGGGGCTGGGCTCAGGAACACCCACTCTACCATCCTTTTCTACCAGGGAAATGACAACACACACCAGAATTGAGGCTTCCAGAGGGGAAAACTCTAAAGAAACTTTTGTTTCTTGATGGCAAATTGAATATCTGGTTCTCCTTTAAGGACCAAGGAAAATTCCACATCAGCTGACATCTCTCACTCTCCTAGTAATTGAAGTAATAAATGGAATAGACTATGGTGTGATAATTAAGACTCTTAACTCTCCAAGCTCCCTTTACTTCATAAGGAGGCATTATTATCATGGAAATAATCAGATCTGTTCTCTGGTACTTTTCTGGTATTTCTGCCAACTTCAATTTAGGACTCACATCTCATTTAACAAAATAACCTTTAAATGGGCAACCCAACTGATTACTGTGGAAATATTCGACCAGATGACAAGAGTGAATTGGTGATTCAAAGGTTTCAACAGCCTAGAATTAATCATCTGAAACATAATGATCTTCAAATGCTCATTGTGCCACCACAATTCTTACTAAAGTCTAGTTCCTAAAACACAAATAAATCTCTTTCCCCTGCTTTTCAAACTTATTTAAATAGGATTTCTTTATAAAATTATGCTCACCATAGTTAACAGAAGTTATATTATTATAATTATTTTTACTTAAATATCCTTTGCCCAACAATGACATCTTTCTTAAAATAAAACTAAAATAAAATCTAAAATGATTAGGTTTGATATAAGTTCACAGATTTAGCCCAATTTACCCCTATCTCCTATATAAAATTTTTTAGAAATTTTATAAATGTAGAAAGTAATTTGTTAGAACAAATACCTGACTACCCATCACTCAGAATTGATGAGTGACACATTTTATGTTATTTGCTTCTAAGAAAGAATTAATGTGCCTAAGTGGTAACAGAATGAAATTTGAGCTTCCATGGCCATGAGTTCATTGGATTGGTCAGTATTTCAATTAATAAACTCTGGTCTTATATCTGAAAATGAGTTGTGTCACTTTAGAGGTCAATAAGTCATGTCTCCAAGGAAACAGAGCTCTGTAGCCACCCACCTTCAAGGGAAATGCCAGTGGGTGCTAAATTGTCTGGGTTTCTAGAAGCCTCAGTGAACCTTGGTTATTGCTCTGGTCATTTTGTGCTGATAAGAAGGTTCCTTGCCCCTGAACCTCCTCTGATTAGACTAAGATATTCATCTATCCACACTCCCTGCTTTCTTTGAATATGTTCTCTCTCGAATAGCATTCTTCTGCTGAAAATGTAGCCCATAAATGTTTACAATTTGATTATTTAAATTAGGGGTTTTCTTTAAGTAAAAGAGAAAGCCTAGTAGGGTATAACAAGAATGTGCTTTTAGCAAAAATTAAACACCAAACGTGGAAGATCAAGGGGTCTTTTATGAATACCCAGAAGATACCACACAGCTTCAGTAAAGAATCTGGCCGAGTTAAACATCCCACGATGACTGCAAAATATACATGTGACATGATGCATGTTAAATGTGATTCCCACCGACATCACATCTCAGAAAGTTATTATACATTATCTCATTTTTTAAATTAAAGGCAACAAGAATTATGAAGAAAACTGCTTGATTAGTTAAAGAATATATGACTGCACAGAAAAAAGAAAACACAGTATCTTTGAATTTAGTTTCAAAGCATTGCTTGATTTTGAACCATTTGGAGGAAGAAAAAAATGATATATGAATTCATTATAATATTGTTCTGCTTAAAAACTCTGTAAGTGTGTATTAGCTGAGATTAAGCTCAAACACTTGAGCATGTGTGCTGGGCCTGCCGTGCTGTGCCAGACTTCTCCTGCTCGGTTTTGAGCCACTTAATAAGGCACATTCCCCAGATGTCACTCATCTCCTATCCCTCTGTTCCTCAATGCACTCAAGCTCTTTTGAAGGGGATGGTGTGTGCCAGGCCAGCTCAGCCAAGGGTTCGGTGAGCCTGGGGGGGGGGGGGCGGCAAAGGATGTAGAAAAGACAGACAAAGAGAATAAGCTGGGTCTAGGTGGATCTCCTGTGCCTGGCTGAGGCCACAGAGAGAGATCCAGACAGCAAGCTGAGCCTTTATTTTATAGCCCGAGGTAAACAAGGTAGTGGTCACCATAGTTACAGTGTTCTTGTGAGTTTCACTTGTTTTGGCAGCACTTGCTGCATCGTCCTCAGCCCAATATCTAGGGAGCATCATAAGGTCAAGCCTAATTATGCTAAGAGGGTTGTGCCCTCTAAGCTGGGACTTGTTTGTGGCTTTGCCAACAGGTCAATCCAAGGCTTAACCCTGTAGCCGCTACCTTCATTAGCGTCTTAGTCTCCTTTGTCTCTCCTGTCCCCTGCCCCTTCCTCAATATGGTCATTACACATTATCAGTATGCTAATACTAATCAGTATATTATCGTAAATGCACATTTTTATTTGCTTTTTTTTTTACAAATTAAAAGATCATTAACAACAAGAAATAAGAAACAGTGTAAAGATCAGCAAAAAACAACAACAAACAAAACAAAACACAAATCGATTTATAAAGCCATACATAGATTCAGCTTCTGTCTTCCCAGCCCTTCAATATTTGGTTCATTCGCTGCATGCATTCACCGAAGGTTCTTTTCTCTAGGTACATGTGTTTCATTTGCTTTTACCATAGACATCATTATTATAACTCTGTTGGAATCAGATTGTTATTGCATCTTTCTCACATTCTCTATTCCCAATTAGAGAGACCTGGAAGGGGATATTAAGAATTGTAATGATTTTCATAAGGTTTGCTTTACATTTCTAAAAGACAGTAAGGTTCGATGAACGTTTATTTTGTTTACTTCTCATTCCTGTACTTCATACCCATTGATTCCAGGAGATGCTGTGCCTCTAGTGAGCCAGGAGCTGTCCTGGGATAGAGGCCATGAGGGTCATGGCCTTGGCACTTCTCAGAGCATGGGACCTAAGGCACTCTTGCAAGAAAATATCAAGAACAAACTGGGTTTGTTCTCCTCATAGGTTTCTGGCACTATTTATTATCTCTATGACTGTGCAGGTAACAGGTGACATCAACGGTGTCCCCAAAAGACAGCTTTCCTAACTGGTAGATAAAACCTGGAGTAAAATAATGACATTTATTCTTAAAGCTGGAGACTATAATCCATTTTGATTTTATGTAGTGTGACAGGTGTTGATATTTGAGTCTGTCTGAAAGACGCAGGTAGTGTGAAATGTGTTGATCATGAATCCAGGGGCATGCCTCTCAGCTTCCTAGGTTAATATTTATCCTTAAATTGGATAATGGAATAACACTGTTAACTTGAGTAATGTCCCCTCTGCTATGCTGTATGTCAACAAAGTGTTCCTGTTGACCTATAAATTCAATTTCACAAAACTCTCACTGAATTAAACAGAGGATCCTAGAATGTGTTCCTGATAAAATGGCACTTGAAATATATGACATAGGTTTACTGAGGCAGGACCAGCTCATGGAGCAAGCAATAATCAATAACTCATTCCCTAGGGTGCCTCTCTTGTTATCACCTCCCATTCACACACACACGCACACACCCCATTCCCAGGGAGTGAGTTAGCATCCATTGCTCCTTTAGGGTGAAACAGATGATGGCCTAAAAGAGCTCATAAGTCTTTGTGAAAAGGCCATACCAAGAGGCAAATTGTGGCTTTAATTTCATTCTTGCAGGGAAGTTAGGCTTCTCTTGAAAAACAAAAACAAGCCAAGAAACTTTATTTTCATCCTTATTCACTCCCTGAGCTTAAAGTTCAAAACATCTTCTGTTCCTAGGTGAGCGCTCTGCACAAGGAAAAACCAAAAACTGACAGCTTGATGAATCCTCCCCACACCTGGGCCGTAAATATGTAAGTTTCCTAATTTCATTCACTGAGCTACTCATTAATGTCTGCTTTGTTAGCCGGTTGCAGCTTAAATGACTTTCAAAGACTTTTATTAGGGGAAAAGTTAATGGTTTGTGCCAATGAAACCATCATTGTCTACTTGTCTAAAAACAAACACTAAAATGATTTGCCAGAGCAATGAATGGCTTGGGGGGCTATAAAAAGTTCTTCCAGTTGCCCTGCCTACCTCAGAATGGCACAGTTCCTGCCTATTGGGGACATTTCCTTCTCATTGCAGTTTGCCTTTATCTGGGTCACCATACACACACTGACAATGCACTTAGACAGGGTCCTATTGCTATTCCAGACTCACAGGACTCAAAATGAGAATGCTTACAAATGTGTAGTTTATTGCAGGAAAGGTTATAACACAGCAGCAGCATTAATGTTGGGATGTGCATCACAGCCAAAAGCTGGCACAGGGGCATGAAATCCAGAGAAGCCAGCTTGGAGGTCCGATTGTCCTCCCTCTGTAAGGACTATACCAGGATGTCCTTCCTCTCTGGGTCCAGGAACCATGGATATGTGCACAGAGCACCTCAAACAAGGTGATCCAAAATGTAGTTTCACCTGGAGTTTTTTATACCAAGCCAGTCATGTAGACAATTTCTTGGTCTATAACTAGCTGAGTGACAAAGCCCTCCAGGTATTTTAGTGACTACCATATGCAGATGATCAATTTCACTACAATAATAGTTAATCAATAAATAATTAAAACTTTTCAAAACTATGTTTACAAGCAACACTGCTATTCTGCGTGCTCCATGCTTTGACCAGGAATCAGGGCAAAGCAGGTGTATTTCTCATTTCATTAAAAGAGCGCAGGCCTTGTCCTGACCGGTTTGGCTCAGTGGATAGAGCATCGGCATGCAGACTGAAAGGTCCCAGGTTCGATTCCAGTCAAGGGCATGTGCCATAGTTACGGGCACATCCCCAGTAGGGGGTGTGCAGGAGGCAGCTGATCGATGTTTCTCTCTCATCGATGTTTCTAACTCTCTATCCCTTTCCTTTCCTCTCTGTAAAAAATCAATAAAATATATATTTAAAAGAGCACAAGCCAATTTTAGGCCTGCTGGAATTAACTGTCCCAGCTTAGCATGCGATTGTCTTTGCTTTCCTAGAATTGGCTCAGATTTTCTTCTGACTCATTTCATTTTCATACGAAGCATTGATTAAGAGCCCTCACAATTAGTGTTTGGTGCTTTTTAGAACCTGCAGAAGAATTTGCCCTTTGGCAACTAATATTTTTTTAAAGAACAAAAAATATATATGCCCATAATTGGCAGTCACTCTGGGTAGTGTCCAGGGGGAAGATTATCATTGTTGTGTCTACTCCCTATGTCACCTGCCCAGCCACTAATATGATGCTGTTATAGACACTGTAATAAAAAACTCCTTTGTTCCTATATTGGTTGCAGATTTTTGAGAAAAAAAAATGGTCGATGCAACATTAATCATAAGCACTACCCTACTCACATAAATCCAGATGTTTACCTAGCTGATCTATGCTGCAAACACTTGACTTTACTTGGAAGTTCACATACAGAGGAGCCAAGTTCAGTTAAACAATAACTGGGACCACTGTCAAAAGAGCTATTAATACAAAAATAACTTGTGTTAAGTTTTGAAGGCCACTGAAGTAAAAGACTAGACATATGTTAGTTCTATGCAGTTCAATACACATTAGTGTTTTAAATGCAAATGTGCTCTGTTTTCTTCTTCTGAGATTAATTCTCTTATGACAAGAAGTAGCAAAGATGACATCACTAAAGGAATTGATTTGCTGTTACATAGGACTTCAGCTAAGACCAGAATTTCAATGCGAAAATGTGAAGTAGGGAAAGCACACTTTCTTCTTATTGATGCCAACAATGGTCTGAATGAAGTGGTCAATAATCAGCGTGGACATGGGGATAGTAGCCAGTAATATCCCACGGAGAACATGTATAAAGGACTAAAGGAAGAAAGAGACAATAGAGGAAAAATTAAGTATGCTTTAAGTGCCTGACTAAGAATTTTCAAAACATAAAACAATGTAAGAAAATTCAATGGAAAAGATAGAAATTCTACTATATTATGACTTAAAAGTTCCAAATATAAAGAAAATTATAAGAAAACAAGTTGAGGAAATGTATAAATACGATACCAGTTCATTAATACTCTAAACATACAAAGATGTTGTATACATATTGGGAAATAGAAAAGTAAAGCAAAGACCATGAACAGATCATTTATGGAGGAGGGAATAGAAATGATAACATAAAAGTGTATAGAGGATTCCTATACTACTGCTAATCAAAAATGTGAATCAAGACCAAAATATATAAACTTCAATCTACTTGAACTTTTTTGTAATTTTAAAAAATTATACTGGTGAAGCAAATAGTTTCATATCTTGCATTTGAAAGTATAGATTAGGTTAATAATTACATTGGGTTCCACATCCAAAAACCAGGCTAAAACAATCATTTCTCCTAAGATCATTGTGCTTCTTTGTTTCTAAAGTGTTAATATACTTAAAGAACCTATCGTGATACTTTATTATAAAAGCAATAATTTATTCTTTGTAAGAATTATAAATTTATGAAATTTTAAGGTTGTGAGAGATTCAGTGCTTATAAAGTCCTGTATTATTACTATTATTCAAAAAGATGACACATACACTGAAATTTAGAGAGATTTTAATGCTGAACCCTCTTGTCAGCCGCAGATGCTCTGGGAGACCATCAGAAATACCCTCTTCTGCAATCCTTTCCACAAACTAAGGCTTAACATAGCTCCTATGGCCACTCTCTGCTCCTCAAACTTCCTCTCCCTCATGCCATGGAAGCCAGTGGCCACCTTTGCCCTATGCAAGGCAAGAGTGCAACCAACTCTACCAAAGACCCTGCTTCTGCCAACTGTGCCATAAAGAATAGGATGCAGGTCTCCACCCCAGCACCATGCCTGCCCCACCCCCATCATATCATCCTCCTCCTAGAGACTCTAGCAAACCCCAGCATTGCCACACAGCAAACATCTAGCCCCTGCCAGGTCAGGCCACTGCCCATTTCCCATCTCCGGCTACTTTTTAGACCAACAGAGAAAGTTGTTTCTGCCCCAATATAATCAACCAAAGTCCTCGCTCTGCTTCCTATGAAAGAGACGCAGAGTTGCCTGGCCATTCTCTCTACTTATTAGGAGAAGAATGAACGGTGCCAATAAATTTCTTAATTACCCACATTGTCACCCCAAGCAGCACCCCTTGAATTATGTCCCTTAGTGACAAGGTACAGTTAAGAGCTTTAATTAGAAGAGGAATATGATGAGATCTGTGCTTGAGACACATCGCTGATGTTTACTGTGAAAGATGAATCCAAAAGGAATGAGACTGTAAGCGGAGAAGTCAGAAAACTATTGCAGTATTCTCTCAGAAAAGGACAGGACTTACCACATCTGCAGTGACACAGAGATGGGGATGAAGAGACAGAATGGAAGAGAGAAATGTCAGGCACATATGATTCTGTGATTGATTGAATGTGGACAGTGAGGAATGAAGAAGATTAGGACTACATATGATGTCCAGACTTCTGGCATGAGTGACTGGATGGATCATGGAGGTAATCGCAAAGCTGGGAATTATGGAGTGAGAGGGAGCAGGTTTAGGAGGCAGTATAGTGGTTTTCCTTTCAGACATGTTCAGTTTCAAGTGACTCTACTGGGTGGAAAATAATTATTCTAGTCACTAGCACATTCACCCCCATATCCAACATCTCTACTTACTCACTTTCTTGGAATCTGAACTTTTTTTCCCTACAGGCTTAATCTTCAGCTTCTATGCTCCAGGATTAGAAAGAGAGAAAGACCTGTGGAATTGATCCTGACTTCCAGTCCTGCTCGCCAGTCTACACCAGTCACCTGTCCCAACAAAATGATGTCCAGACGACATGCAATAATCTGATAGAATAAAAAGTCCTGGGTCTTTCCCGTCCATTGAGACAGGAGAAAGCACATTTGTACATTGTCTGGGAACATTCTCAGGAGAACCGATTTTAGGAAAGGCATTTGTGAGCAGTTAACCAGGCAGCCCAGGCATGTGGGTTCCCTGATGACGTGACCTTCCTTCAAGTTTAAAGTTTCCGGAGCTGGCAGTTTTTACCCATGGTGCCTTTCCTACTTTCCTGGCGTTCTTCTATTACCTAATGTTTGTATTTATTGTTTTCTACTATGACTATGTTAATGCAGGGAAAATTTGCAAGTGTATTATTAAATATTAGGTAGAAATCATGACGTGCCACTTTGTACATAAAGATATTTTATTCATATGTTCATATGTTAGTTTTAATAAATATTGACTGTATTCAACACATTAAAATATCAGAATGTGACCGTGAAGATGGTGAAGGTATTGTCTTCCCATAATTATGAAAAAGTTTGGATTGACTATTAGATTATGGGAACTCTATAATGAAAGGCATCTGTAATAAGTGAGAAAGGGACAGAGGATTCATGTATTAGACCCTGTTAGGGGTAAATCATACCATTTCTTTGGTCTTTCTATTTGTAATTCACACTGTGTAACAAGGATGTAAGGGCATTTATGACACTGTACTGCATTCGTTAAGAACATAAGCAGGATTGAGGGTAATCCTTTCAGTTAAGACTATCTCCATGCATTTTTTTTTATTTCTTTTAGAAATGTAATGATTTGTCCTAGCAGTGATTGTTAATAGAAATGAACATTTCATAAATACATGATTGTGATATTATTTTTCACTGTATCCCTCTCCTTAAAAAACATATGATTGTAGCTGCCGCTCCATCAGGAGCAGATTATTCAGTTGAAAGCTGACTGATCAACCTTGACCTCTTCTTGGATGCGTGCAATCAGAATGTCATGTTGGGTGAAGTTCTGTGGAAAGTTCGGAAACTAACAAGCTGCCCGTGGCAGCTCTTTCACTTGTATGATTACCTTCGCCGAGTCAATGCTAAATCATCCTAGTGATGTGAGGACAGTGCGGTAGAATCTGAACGGTGTATATAAAACTACCCTTTAAATTTATTTTGTTGCAATGTATTTGAAAACTTCCAGCTTTAAAGATTATGTAAATAATCATCTTGGTTTTAACTTTCTGATGTCTGCACACTAAGACACCAACAAGCATATCTATATTTCTAAGTGGTATCTCCTCTTGTTTCTTTGAGAAGGAAGATAGGAAATTGAAGGGGAAAAGGAAAGTAAGAGGGTAGAGAAAAGGGCAAGGATCCCCAATATGTACACTTTCCCATGAGAGATGTTCTATCCGTGCTTAACTCCAACCTAAAAGTCTTCTATACTGGTGCAACAGGGGCATTTGTCTTCAGAAGGAAAATATGCCAACACCCCTAGAATGCTTTACTGAGCTCCTCGGCAGAAGCCTTGTTACACAGAATGTGCTGAGAGAAACAAACTCTTCTGCAACTTAAATTACTGCAGTGATGTGTTATTCCGGTGTCTAGAAAAACCATTTTCTTGACTTTGCATAAGAATTGTTGGAAGAATTTACAACGATTGGGAAAAGGGAAAGCTTCTTAATGGTCATGAAAGAATAAAATTCATTCTAGTTCAAGAATTGTGCATAAAGAATATGCTTTATACTAACAACTATAGCATTAAATCTTCAGAGTCAGAGTGGTAAGAAAATTCAGGAATTTGCAGATATTCATGGCATTTTGGAGCATCGATCTCAGATGTCTGCATTTTCATAAATCAACTTAACCTTCTATTGAAATAAGTTTCAAGGCAACATTATAATTAATTAGATTTTTAATTATCTTATTTAAATTGTCTACTTTCTATGCCTCACTTGTTACATGCTCTTTATTCTAATATACTGTTCAAATGTCACTGCAGAGAGGGAATAGCTGTATTTAGATCAAAGGCAAACTTTTCTATGTGTTTGCTCTGCATAACAATATGAATATAATTTAAGTCTATCAATAGTAAAACATAAACAAGAGCTAACTAACTGGCACGTTTGTTATCTAAGAGTAAGGGAATGTTGTTGGCTGACACACCGGCTATAATCAGCCCATAGAGAGACTTCAAAATTCTCCTTTCTGGGCTGAAATATTTCATTACATTTCTGAAAAATCTGTGTGTCTTATTTCTTGTCTACCTGATATACAACTCAGGACATCAGAGAACCTTCAGCAGTGAACCTGCTAGCTTTCCCTGATTTTTCTCTGTTGAGCTCTGTTTATGATCATTCAAGTTTGCACGGAGTCCTAATAAGACAACTGGGTATGTCCTCTAAAAGTTATGTTTTCTAGGTCCCTCCATGCTGTCTCAAAGAGTAACAGACCTAGAGAGTATTATGCTAAGCGAAATAAGCCAGTCAGAGAAAGACAAATATCACATGATCTCACTCATATGTGTAATCTAATGAACAAAATAAACTGATGAACAAAATAGATCCAGAAACATAGAAGCATGTAACGGACTGTGGAATCTCAGAGGAAGACGGGGGTGGGTGGATGGCAAGAGATTAACAAAAGAACTTATATGCATATATGCATAACCCATGGACACAGATAATAGTGTGGTGAAGGCCTAGGGCAGGCAGCAGGTGTGGGCTAGAAGGGGTCAATGGTTGGGCGGGGGAGGGAGGAAGGTGACATCTGCAATACTTTCAACAACAAAAATAAAATTTTTAAAGTTATGTTTTGAGTAATTATAGTCTCAAGACAATGGAACTGTTATTTTTTGCCTAATATTAAAGATATCCATCATTGTGATTAATTAAATAAGTACCCTGAACTGAGAATTTGTGATGGGTTATCCAGAGATTTTCTCTTAAAAATTTCCCTGCAAACACTAACAGGACTTCTCGTGTTTCATTAAATGAGTATACTTTGTCACTGTTTCAAGGGGATTTGTCCTATGAGCCTGAATATAGATATTTCTTGTTCTGGCTACTTTTTAAAGAAAATGAAGCTTTGATAAGTGATGAAAAAACATCTATCTTGTTCATCAATATTGCATTCATGAACTTAAAGTCAGAATTCTACCGAAGTAATTAAGGATAATATTGTTAGTTAGCTAACACCATATCCAAGACTCATTTTGTGCCAAGCACTGTGCTAAAAACTTCACTTTCATCATCTTGGTTAATCATCACAATAATGGTAAGAGGCAATTTCTAATATTATTATTTTTATTATTATCATGATCACCATCATTATCATAAGCATATCCGTTTTAAGACAGAAAGCTAAATAAGTTACCCAAGGTTGTAAAACTAGTAAACAGCAAAAATTTGAATTCCAACCTAAATCACAAGTCCCTGTTCTTCATCACTATACTACTTAGTCTTTCTAATCTCAGTTTATTTATCTATAAAAAGGGGTTATGCAATCATGCTCCTGGCCATAGTTATAAGCAGGGTCCAGATTTATCATCCTACTATAAACAATTATAAAACTGAACAACTGCTTCAGTAGACAAAGGCAGAATTAAGATGTGATCCTTAAGAAGAGAGGACAAAATTGTGATCTCTATGAATAACCAACTCTGACACATTTGAGTCTAGCTGCAGAGAAGAGGACACCTAGGTAGAACCTGATAGGCACACTGAGTTGAGAAGATATAGATTGGAGCAAGGAGACTCAGGTAGCTGGAATTTATGGAGCAGAGCATCAGACAGGAGGGAGCTACATAGCAAAAAAAAAAAAAACAACACCTAAAAAAACAAAACAAAACCCTTCGTATATAGTTGAATTTGTATCTGTTAATGGGATATTAAGCTGTATATACACTTAGTGTGAAACTCCATGAAACCAGGTAAAGGGTACTGACTAGTTGTATGCTGAAAATTCCTAGATATCATACAGGGCAGACAGACATTCTGATCATCCATTTTGGAAAATCCTCATTGATCACTTTTATCAATGATCCCAGAAGATTCACACCTTAGTAGTTGTATTAAAATACCCCTAGCGCAGTGATGGCGAACCTCTTGAGCTCGGCGTGTCAGCATTTTGAAAAACCCTAACTTAACTCTGGTGCCGTGTCACATATAGAAATTTTTTGATATTTGCAACCACAGTAAAACAAAGACTTATATTTTTGATATTTATTTTACATATTTAAATGCCATTTAACAAAGAAAAATCAACCAAAAAAAATGAGTTCGCGTGTCACCTCTGACACGCATGTCATAGGTTCGCCATCACTGCTAGCGGGTGCTTCTAGTCAAAATAGCAGTGTAGCTAAATGCAGAACTCGCTGCCTCCTACAACCACATCAAAATTACAACTAAACTATAGAACAACCATTATTCAGAACCACCTGAAATCTAGCTGAACGGAAGTTCTGCAACTAAGATAAAAAGAAGAAACTACGTCTGCACTGGTAGGAGAGGCAGATAGGTGGAACAGTCTGGTCCCACATCCACGTCTGCCGGATAAAAACCGGGAAGGATAACTCAGCTGTAGAGGTTCCCCCTGAGGAGCGAGGTGTCCCAGTCCCATACCAGAACCCTCAGCCCAGGGTTCCAGTGCCAAGGAAGAGAAGTCCCCATAATCTGCTGGAATCCTAGGCATTCCTCTTAAAGGGCCTGCACACAGATTTACTCAAACTCACTTGCTCTGAGCTCCATGCTGAGGCAGCAGCTCAAAAGGCTCCAGGGACATATGGGGAGGAACTGAATTGTCTGGAATCAGGGTGAGCTGGAGGGGCAACTTTCTCCCAGACAGAAGTGCTGGTAGAGGCTATTGTACCTTTTCTGAGTCCTCCCCTCACAGAGCCAGCAGATGAGCGCCAACCTGACTAACATTTCTCATCCTGCCCTAGTGATTCCCTGAGACCCCACTCCACCCAACTTGGGTGCAGAGTTGGCCTCAACATGCTCTTTGCTAAGTGACCCAAGCCCAGCACCAGAAGTAGCCACACTTGGTTCACAGCTTGGCTTCTCATGGACACCTCCAAGCCCAGCACAAATAGCAGCCATCTGAGGAATGCCTAGGATTCCAGCACCTACCCTCTCACTCACTTTGTAGCTCATGCCAGGTTGTGGGGGAAAAGGAACCTCATTCCCTGCTGGTGAGAATGAAAACTATGGAAAATGGTATGGAGGTTCCTCAAAAATTAAGAATAGAGTTCCCATATGACCCAACAATCTATCCTCTACCCTTTGTAATACTTTTAGCAATAAAAAAAAAAATCTATCCTCTGGGTATCCTATATAATAAAAGCCTAATAGGCAAATTGTCCTTTTGGGCGGTCATTCAACTGGGAGTTCAACCAGGAGACCTGGAGTTCGACCGCTTGCTATGATGTGTGCTGACCACCAGGGGTTGGCATGGAACATGGCGGGCGTCAGCAACACAGCAGTGGGCAGCAGTGGAGGCGCTGTTGGCCTTGATGAGCCCCGATGAGAGCAGGACCGGGGCGGGATGGTGGAGCAGGTGAGCGGGTGGCGCCAGGCCAAGGCAGGGTGCCAGGAGGGGCTGCTGGACTGCGAGGCTCGGGGTGCGAGCTTGGGCTGCGAGGCTGGGGGCCCAATCTCTGCAGGCCACCCCAAGGGACCCCACCCATGCATGAATTCGTGCACTTGGCCTCTGGTCTACACATAAAAAAATGTGAAAACATTTATTCGCAAAGATATATGCACTCCTATGTTCATTGCAGCATTAATCATGTTGGCCAAAACATGGAAACAACCAAAATGTCCTTCAATAGATGATTAGATAAAGAAGATGTGTTATGCAATGGAACACTACTCAGCTGTAAGAAAAGATGAAATACTGCCATTTGTGACAACATGAATGGGCCTTGAGAATATCATGCTAAGCAAAACAGGTCAGTCAGAAAAACTAAGAACCATATGATTTCACTCATGTGTGGAATATAAAACTGAAACTCAGACACAGACAACTCTATGATGGTTACCAGAGAGAAGGGGGTGAATGGGGTAGTAAAGGCTAAAGGGAGCCAAATGGTGAAGGGAGATGATTTGACTTTGGGTGTTAGACACACAATGCATTATACAGATCATGTATAATAGGAATGTACACTTGAAACCTATATAATCTTATTAACCAATGTCACCCCAATGCATTTAATTTAAAAAATAAAGCAAATGAAAGCATTTAAAACAAACACTGTCAGCCACTACATCGCTGCTTCCATTGCAATGCCATTTCGTTAACTCAAAGAGCTCAGATGATTTGATAGATGGGAGAAGGCACAGATGAAGTTTCCTCTGGCTTCGCAGGAAGCCCACTTACCTGCTGAGTGCAGAACACTGTTTGTCATATATATGCTGCAAGAGGCAGGTTTTAATTCATGTCTCTATTATCTAAGAATTATGTTTAGAAAAGGATTAAACTTCACTTTGGCATTCTAGACATATGTGCTCTGTCTCAGCTCCATCCCGTTATTGTGATATGGCCCACTCCCTAGGATTGCCCTAAATTTTTATTTCACAAGAAGAACAGTGACTTTCTGATAGCTGAGCTCTCACTCTGGGGAGGGTAGAGTGTGAAGTATAGAATTGAAGTCAAACTATCTAGATAGAGAAGTGTGGGAAGCTTTCAAAAGTGAAGCTTTAAAAAAATGTGTGTGGGAAGGGAACAGAAATTGAAATTATCTATTAATACTAAATGCTAATAGTTATTACTTTCATCATCATCAGTATAGCTTTATTACCTCCTACTAGGCCAAGGTTTTATTTTAGGCACAGGAGTTATGAAAATACACCATAAATGATAATAATTCCCTGTAAGAGCTTATTGTCTATTATAGAAGATGAACCATAGAGCTGAAAGGCGGTGGGGAGCTTTTCTGACTTACTGCTAATAGGGGCAGGCAAGCTGAAATGATGAAATGGAACACCATCAGTTATGTGGCATCGCTTGTTCTCACAGAGCATACACTGTGTACAGTGCAGAGGAGTGGAATGAATGATGAGCTCTGAGTTAGACACGAGCTTAAGTCTAGGTTCCATTTGTCATCCTCTCAATTTTAAAATGGCAATATGAAGGTTTTGAGAAGATTAGGATGATGCCTGCAAATAAACCAAGCATGAGAAACAATAACTTCAAAACAAACAAAAAAGAAAGTTAATAAAGACAAATAATTTGGTATGCAACATTAAACAGAAACAGAAGCCACATCCAGGAAAAGTTCTGCCTCTTTTCCCCTGGGCATTGAAGAAACTAAATATATTTCAACCAAGTAGTGTCTTATGGAGGCAGAAGCAGTTTCAGGAAGATGCAACAGAAGATCTTTTTTATTTTGCTTTGTTAATTATTTTTTTAATGCTGGAAGAAAGGAAAAACACACAGTCAAAAATATTTCCAAAAGAACATATGTGCTTTTGATGCTTAGAATAGCGGACTTTAAGTGGCACAATTGAATGACACAGGATTATGTTTCCTGCTCTTAACCTATTTTAGGAAATTGTTTTGGCCAAAGATCAAGAAAGACTTCTTTCTTTTTGCTGAGCCAAACTAATTAATAAGGTATTTTACTAGAGCAATAAAAAGTTCACACCCTTGAGATACAAACATTAGTAGAAAGATTCCAGAAAAACTTCTCTATTTGCTAGTCAATTTAATAATCAAAGATTATATACACTGGGTTCTCAAACTCAGTCACCTGAGTATCTCTTTAACTCAGCAGTTCTCAACCTGTGGGTCGCAACCCCTTTGGCGGTCCAACGACCCTTTCACAGGGCTCACCTAAGACCATCCTGCATATCGGATATTTACATTATGATTCTTAACATTAGCAACATTACAGTTATGAAGTAGCAACGAAAATAATTTTATGGTTGGGTCATAACATGAGGAACTGTATTTAAAGGGCCAGAAGGTTGAGAACCACTGCTTTAACTGTTTCAAAGACCTGAGATTTTCTATAACTCACCCACTCTATTTCCATATTTTAAAAGGTGGATTTTAAAATTTTGATCCATCTAGGGCGAAGATCTAAAGATAAACTAATCTGTCCTTCGAGATAACCTGTCCTCTCCTTTTATCCCAACGTGATGGACAGCAATAACAACCAATTACAATACGTGCTTTCCTATTATGGGTATCAGGAGGCAGGTCCCCATTATTCTCTAAAAGACATTACAACGTTTAGGCAAGCATTCTCATGAAAGTACAAGCCATGGTGATTTAAGTGTAGTTAGCGCTGTCATTCTCATCTTATACATAGGCTTTTCTTGGAATAGAACAGCGTAAGGCTTTCTCTATCATACCTCGGTATGGTGTTTTAAGTCCACAGGAAGGAAGCCCCAGGAGAATTATCCAAAACTCCTTTTAAGAAAAGAAAAACTCACTGCTGGATTCTGCTGTGAATACACTTTATCTAATCATGATCATGTAAGATGTATTTAGAGGTTCTCAATTTTGGAATCACTCAGTTGACAGAATTTAAGGTTGAACCAAAACTGTGATGGTATAAAGTAACTAGAGGCCTAATGCATGAAGATTAGTGCAAGAATAGGCCTTCCTTCCCATGGCTGCCAGCACCACTTTTGCTCTGGCCCAGAGCCATCTTCCACCTCTCGCCTTGTTCTATCAATTTGCATATTCCCTCCTTATTGGATGTGGGTGCCGCCATCTTTGTTGTGAAGTTATGGTCAATTTGCATATTCCATCTTTATTAGATAGGATGGCATAGTTCAAAGAAGTTACAAGATGGAGAGAAGGCGAGGGGAAGATGCAGTAGGGACCCTAATGCTTTCATTTTACACAAGGAAAAACCAAGAGACACTAAGTTAATGAAAAGGAGAAAGATGAGTTTAATTATATTATTTAAAGTTAAATAGAAGAAGCAATAAAAGCATTAAATAGTGATATAGATCATAAAATGTGGGAGGCGAGAGGAAGATGAATGCAAAGTAGTATTAGTGAGCTAAATTCTACTCATAGCGTGGAGTCATTAGCTACTGTCTAAAGTTGTTACAGAAAAAATATACATTTATTTTTTACCACTGTGGTAATAAGCCTCACAGCAACTGAACACAGAAACAGCTAAGGTCGTCATCTCTGGCTGAATTAGGGGCCAGAGAGTAGAAGTATCAGTTTAGGCTCTGCAAGAGCTCTGCTAAATAAATACCATGTATATATTTTCCTTTCAAAAAATACAGTAAAACAAATATATATATATATATAAAACAAATATATATATATTATTTATGTAATAAGGCTTTACAACAAATTTTACTGAGCACTCTAACAATCAGAATTCCACTTACCAAAATAACTCTGTGGATGGATTGTGTTGCTGTTATTAACTCCCCCAGTTAATAGGTATGGAAACACATTGTTGGCTCCAGGCAAGATAATTTATTGCTGGAAAACATACAAGTAGTTTGTAAGTGGCCAAGAAAGCTTTGGCTTCACCGAGGTCTTCTGAATTCTGGTCCAGAGCCATTTCCATCAGAGAAGCTGAAATTTTTTCTTGCCTTAGACTTGAAAGATCAACTAGCCTACCCACCTTATCTGGACTGTCACCTTGGCTGCTGGATTACCGAAAATTGTCCTTGCATCACCAAGAAGTCATTCAGTCACCAAAGACTTAAGAGCAAATTCTCTTATCAACACCTTAGCTGCATGAGAAAAGAATTTTAATGGGTACATATTTGGAGACACTTATTATCAGAATGTCTTAAGCTAATAAAATTATTAAAGCTCAAATACCCACTGACATCTAAGCAAATTATGTCACTAGATTCACAATCCTATGACAAATTTTCTATAGTCTAAGGCCATACTATTTAATAGAAATAGAAAGTGAGCCAAATATATAATTTTAACAGACTGGCAGCTGTCATGGGGAAGCAGGGGAGAGGGAGGGAGGTAGATGAAAGAAGATGAAGAGATTAGCCAAAGAACATATGTGCATACATAACCCATAGACACAGACAACAGTATAGTGATGTTCAGAGGGAAGGAGGGGTTGGAGACTGGGTGGAGATGGGCAAAGTTGGGGGGATGGGTACATACATAATAGTGTCACAATAAAATAAATAAGTCAATGGAACAAAAAAGTTTCAAAATAAATAAAATAAGATGTCTAGTAACCACATTTACAAAAAAACTGGAAAGAAATGGATGAAATTATTTCAACATGTATATAAAAAATAAAAAAAATGTTTAAAACTATGAAAAAATGCAATGTTTTTTCCAAACTAAGCCTTGGAAATCAGGTGTATACATTTTACATTGATACCCGATCAAATCAGACTCTCCACATTCAGATATCCAATAGCCATGCCGTTTAATGGCTACCTCATTAGATGGCACAGCTACAAGGAGTCTAGGAACCCCAATCCTCCGGTTTAGAAACTGCAACCCCCAAAACTGAAAAGGAAGAGCAGGAAGACGGGCTAATACTTTAAAATATCAAATAGTTCAGAACCAGGCCTTAGTGATGGAATCAAAGTTTGTTAAATTATCCAATAATGTCTTCAAAATAAAGTGTTGTTTATATTATCTTTATAAAGAAAATATATCTTAAATTACACATTAGTTGTCCTACCAGATATTCCACTCTCCAGTTTTCTTCTCAAAAAAAGATTACAACTCGGTTTTTATATCTAGTATGGACCCAGCAGATATTTCTGCTTGACATCGACAGTGAGATAATTATTAAGAATATAGGTAAAGATAAGGTAAGATTGTTTGCAATTGTACCAACCACTCATTATTTTTCAAATTCTTAAAAAGGAACTGCCTGTGAACTAAATCGGATCATCGTTCTCTCGCTCTTACACTATTAATGCTTCCTTGAGGCTGTTTTCTAATAAAATTGCTGATATCACAATGAGAGGAAGTAAACTTATGACAGAAAAAAAAATCCATTGGTAATGATGTGAAAGTCAAGCCTATGTCCTAAAGGCCCCCATCTACAATGAACATTTAGTTACTAGGTGATCAGATGCATCTGCTAGAGCGTTCATTCTTTGTTAAGTGAATAACAGTTCTATTATAACTAGGAGGTGAATTAAAGAAAGTTGAACATATTTGCTGAACATTATCCATAAAATATATACATACTCACAAAGCTTTCCACCAACTACATTAAAATTGAAATCAGCATATTTGTAAATGTAATTTAATTGGAAAATATTAAGCAATCTCATAAAAGAAATTAACTTATTTAGTGCTTTGACAAATATTCACATATAAATTTATTTTAATAGGCTCATCAGGATATAGTTCTATTAAAGCACCTTTACTATTAAGAAATAATTATCACCTTATCTTGAAAATACATAAATCAAAATTACCTTTTCTAAATCAACTTTCACAAAATTCTCTGGTTACAATCCCTTACCTGTGGACCATCTGCAGTAAATTCTATGCAGATATGAAATACTCTCCATCTAGATGAAAATGCTGGTCAGGATTTCATTCATTCATTCATTCACTCAATCATTAGCTCACTCCTTTATGTATTCTGTACTCCATTATCTGCACTGAATCTGTGACTCTTTTGTCAGGCTACACATAATTAGGCAATAAAAAGTAATTTCAAATTTTATCTTTCATATTTCTTTTATTCTACTTGCATTACTCAACACTTGAGGGGGGGTCTCCTGACCATAACATACTCTAAAATTTCTCTTTTCTGCCACATCTATACTAATAAAAGGATAATATGCTAATTAGATTAGGAAACCTTCTGGGAGAACAGCCTGGGAGGGCAGTTGGGGGCCATGAGGCCGGCAGGGGAGGGCAGCGAGGGGTCCCAGATTGGAGAGGGTGCAGGCTGGGCTGAGGGACACCCCCCGTGCACGAATTTTGTGCACCAGGCCACTTGTCTACATATATAAAAGGCTAATATGTAAAGTGTCCCCTCAGGAGTTCGACCAGGAGACCAGGAGTTCCATCGCTCGCTATGACATGCACTGACCACCATGGGGTGGATGGAATGAAGGAAGGCTCCGGCCAGCAGCTGGCAGCTGAGGAAGGAAGGCCCCAGCTGGCAGCTGGAAGGAAGGCCCTGGCTATCAGCCAGAAGGCCCTGATCGGCCCTGATCGCTGGCCAGGCCTAGGGACCCTACCCATGCATAAATTCACCAGGCCTCTAGTTCTATATAATAAAACCCTAATATGCAAATCAACTGAACGGCGGAACAACCGGTTGCTATGACACACACTGACCACCAGGGGGCAGACGCTCAATGCAGGAGCTGCCCCCTGATGGTCAGTGCACTCCCAATGGGGGGGAAGGGGCTCTGCTCAACCAGAAGCCGGGCTAATGGCTGGAGAGTGCAGCAGTGGTGGCAGGAACTTCTCCCCGCTCCGCGGCAGTGCTAAGGACCCCTCGGGGGGGTGTCTGCCATGCGGGGAGCAGGCCTAAGCTGGCAAGAGGGTGCAGGCCAAGCTGAGGGAACCCCCCCACCCAGTGCATGAATGTCATGCACCAGTCCTCTAGTCCATTATATTAATACTAGAGGCCCAGTGCACGAATTTCTAGTAAGGTCCCAAGAGGCTGCCGGCTGCCATCACTGGCAGGGGCCTCCCTCCCTTCCCCAGGCTGGCCTTGCCCCCTGGTTGAACTCCCGGACAAACTTCCTGTTGAGGGGACAATTTGCATACTTTGCTTTTATTATATAGGATAATACACTTGCCTTTCTGGAATCTTCTCCAGTTTCTCTGAGTAATTTCACTTCAAGCCCTGAATAAAGACTTCTCTTCCTTCCCTCCTTCTTCTTATCTTGATTCACTATTACAAAATCCCAAAGAACCATGCTGGCTAGCAAAGGTGGAAACCTCCAGAGAAACTGAGGGAAAGGAAAGAAATGAAACGACAAGACCTCTAAACTCTTGTTAAAAACAATAAAGACAAAAAAATTAAATAAATAAAATAATAATAATAAAAATAAGAAAGGCAGGGCCATTTTAAATTTAATTAAATTTAATTATTTATTTTGTCCCATTACATATCCATTCAATAAACATTTTGCAACTAGAATGTGTCAGAAAAGCAAAAATGAGATAAAAATCTATGCTATTAAGGTTCTCCAGTCTAGTGTGTGTGTGTGTGTATATGTGTGTGTGTGTGTGTGTGTGTACCCATGCACAAATGCATACACATGTGTGTGCAGGGAGTTATTAATATAATTCCATTTAAATTTTATTAGTATCTGGACTAAGACAATTACCATAAAGGCAGAAGAATCAGAAAATTGACAGTATTCTGCAATGTAAGATATGAAAGAAGAGGAAAGGGAATACATCTTAGTTGATTTCCAGATGGATGGCACCCTTGAATGACTGGGTAAATAGTGGTATTAATATCAGGGACATAGAAGTAAGAGAGAATCTGATAAGTTACATTTTGAAGAAGTGGAGTTTACAATATCTATACATACACATATTCTTCCAAGTGGAAATGTGGTGGGAACTAGAAGCCTGGATCTCAGGAGAGCTGTCCCAACTGGAAATATAGTTTGAGACATGATAGCATATGCATGGTGGTTAAAGAGAGGGACTATGTTGCCACAGGAAGAGTTTGAACACACAGAGAAAATAAAACAGTGGAAGAGCACCAGCGATTAAAGAATGGGCAGAAGGAAAATCAAGATTGAATAGTATCAGGGGTGGTGACAAACCAAGAGAGAGAAATGTCGTTGAAGCAGATAGAAGTGAGTGCCAACAGAATGCTCAACTCCTAAAAGTCAAACACATGACTCCCATTTCAACCGATAAATCAGATTCATTTGGCAGTAGCTCTGCTCCAGGTTCTTATCAGATAAATACACAAAGTCAACTCTTGGCATTTGTGAATAGATTTTAAGCAACTGATATGTCAGAGAAATAACATAATGGGTACCTTAACTAAGCATTCTCCTAGAAGCTTTAAACTTAATGCCTGCATTAAGAAAGACCATTAGGAAGTAATGTTCCTTAATCTGACTCATTTTTTCCTGCAGAAATGCCTTCCCCAGGTGATGTTTTAATGTTATTCACTCAAGTTTATAGATAATATATACATAAAACTCCATTTTGAACAACATAGGTGGGTCTTTTGCAAAATCTAATTGAAAACATTGCCAGATATGTTGCTCCATAGCCTATATATAAAGACTCACACAGCCCATGGGCACAGTTAGTAGTGTGGGGAAGGCCTGGGGACTTCAAGGGGGTGGCGGGGCATGTGGGTGGAGGGGGGCAAAAGAGGATATCTGTAATACTTTCAACAATAAAGATACATTTTGAAAATATAAAGATACAATGGATTAATTTTATTTTTTACTATTTTTTTATTTTTAATTTGTATTGAATTTATTGGAGTGACATTGGTTAATAAAATTATATAGGTGTCAAGTGTACAATCCTATAATATATATTGTATTGTGTGTTCACCACCCAAAGTCAAGTCTCTTTCTGTCATCATTTATTCCCCCTTTATCCTCTTCTACCTCCTCCCATCCCCTTTTCCCTCTGGTAATCACCATACTATTTTCTGTATCTATGAGTTTTTGTTGTTGTTTTGTTTTGTTTTTCTTAATCCTTTCACCTTTTTCAGCCAGCCCCATAATCCCCCATCCATTCTGACAGCTCTGAGTGTGTTCTCTGTATCACACAATGGATTTAAATTTGTGCCTCCAAAGTCTGTCTCAGAAGATGAGCTCTTATTATTTTATCTTATTAGACAATATAAAGCCAATACAGATGGGGGCAAAAGTAGGTTTACAGTTGTGAGTACACAAAACAAGAGTTTATTCTTGTGTTATTGTTTATTAATTATTGTATTATTTTCCATACGAACAACTGCCCCATCCT